GCTGTTGAAACTCAACTGTCTCTGCGCGGCGCCAATCGCCCTTATATACGCCGATCGATGCATTCTAGAAAGTAAATAAATAAATAAATATTTCCAACACTCAAACCAATTAGCCTAGCCCCAAAGTAAGTACTATAAGGCTTGTGTTATGGGATACTAGGGTAACGGATAGAATACATAAACTGAACTTATATATATAAGTATATTTTTTTTTATAGAAATACATATTAAACATCCATGATTGGAGTACAAATGCTCGTATTCATCACACAAACATCTGTCCCCACCGGGATTTGAACCCGGGACCTCTCGAGTCGGCGACACCATGAAACCCGGCGTACAAACCACTCGACCACGGAGGTCGTCGAAAGTCGAAGTTCTAGAAAGTACCTGTTAAATTGAGAATTACCTAGCACCCGCGAGTACGAAATACCTACTTATACCTACGCAAGTAACACGCATAACTTGTAAAGAAGTGCAGATATCGTTGCACTTTCTCCTTTACGTCGCACTGCATAAGGCTCATTTTAGAATGAGCCGCCTTACTCGACTTCTATTGCGACCCGCGGTGCTCTGGCTAATTCGATCTCTAGCACATTCGCGGTTCCGTTTCGAGAGCGTTTGTGACAGTATAATGGACAACCAAGAATTTCTTTTAATGATATCTTTCGGGAAGCTGAAACATAAACAAAGGTATAAGACCGCTGCTAGATAGCTGTTATTAAATAGGTTTTCTACATCTAATCAACATGATCTACTACAGTATTTATTATAAACTTATTTTCATATTTTGAACTTTATAATTACTATTTACAATAATACTTATGTATTTTAACTTTCTCAAAATATCTCAAGTGTAGTGATAATGGTTACCCTACAAAACCAAAATTTATATTATTTGGACGTAGTTACGCGAAAACGTTCCAACCCACAAGTCACTCGAAAATGAGTTACCATAACCAGGGTACTATTTTTGACATATTACATCATGTGCACACAAAGATGCTAGTATTTTTAGGTTAGTTTCATCAATAAAGTTTAACCCAAATGTTCCAACCCACCATTATGCCAAGGACGTGTACTCAAAATAAAGTAAAAACATTACATGCATACTGAAACATATTGTTAAAAACTCTTAATAGAATAACATATCGTTATAATGTTCCACTTGTCTTGGAACATTATACTAAATTCATAAAACGCACATTTAATGGTTTCTTAAATGATCCATGTGGGTTGGAACGTTTTTGCAAAATCTTTATACATTTTTTATTTCTGCAAAAATGTTCCATGTAATTTGAAACCTTTTAGATTAATCCATACTGTTTTTTTAAGCTGCGAACACTGTTCTAAATAAATTGAAACCTTTTATTATAATATATTATTTTCTAATTTTTTGCTATAAACAATCCACATATACTTGATCCATTTTTGCTATTAAGTATGTTCTAGAGAAAAAGATATTTTTTACCAAAATAAATAACTATGGTATATTTGGACGTAGTAACGAGAAAATGATCCAACCCACAGCAACCCCAATTTGAGATAAACGCAATTTACACACTTTTTCCCTGTAATTATTTCAGGCAAATACTATTGGTTTAACTATGGAATGCCAAACTGATTATTGAATGATATGCATATTTTTTGTAAATACATAATACAAGGGGCATATAAATAGGTAAAACGAGTTTGAAATGTTTTTGCTAAATTAATTTTGTATGAACCTTGTTAAATAGCAATTATGCATAAACTTTCCAAAACGAATTTAAGTGTATTATTTTATAAAAATAAACCAAAAAGAAATATGTAAAATAATAAATAACAATGAGGAACATACAAAAACAACAAAAAAAATATTTGAAAATGTATTACAAAAAAATAGAACGTGATCTTTTGAGTTTAGAACCTATGCCAAAAATTTGCTGATATGGTTCCAAAAGTTATCAAAAACTTATATTATAAACATTCAATTTTCATCATCGTATTCTATGATCTCGAAGTCCGGAACTCCACCAAACCCATCAACATCATCAGTGCTTCTTCAGAACTTTGAAGCGTTCTATAAAATTGAAGGCAATCCTCGGGTATGTAGTGGTACATGGATTGTAAGTCCACTAATTTCGCTGGAGCAATCGGTTTGTCGTTAGGCCACAATAAGCAAAAATCAGATTCTTTTATGTATTGCAGTTCTCGTTTTATTCTTTTATCAATTTTCAACTCATTGAAATCGTCTTCCATCGTAGACCGCATAAAAATAGAAAAAATTATATCTTTATCCAACTTAATTTCTTTTGTATGTAGCCAACTAACTTTAGATGAGTCTGTAAACTTCTTCCTATTGATAATCTTCTTTTCCAGTTTAGTTGTACTATAAAATCAGTCTTTGTCATTTTGTAAACTTGAAGAGGTTTAACTTTTTTACTTAGTTCTACAATAGTGGTATCCATAGTGCATCTAATGATACTGGGCATTGTTATGTATTGGTAGAAGGAGAGGTAGGAAGAGGTGCACAGGAAGTGGATTGCCTTCTGTTCTGAAGAAGCACTGATGATGTTGATGGGTTTGGTGGAGTTCCGGACTTCGAGATCATAGAATACGATGATGAAAATTGAATGTTTATAATATAAGTTTTTGATAACTTTTGGAACCATATCAGCAAATTGGCATAGGTTCAAAGCTCAAAAGATCACGTTCTATTTTTTTTGTAATACATTTTCAAATTTTTGTTGTTTTTGTATGTTCCTCATTGTTATTTATTATTTTACATATTTATTTTAGATATATTTATAAAATAATACACTTAAATTCGTTCTGGAACGTTTATGCATAATTGCTATTTAACAAGGTTCATACAAAATTAAATTTAGCGAAAACGTTTCAAACTCGTTTTACCTATTTATATGCCCCTTGTATTATGTATTTACAAAAAATATGCATATCATTCAATAACCAATTTGGCATTCCACAGTAACACCAATAGTATTTGCCTGAAATAATAACAGGGAAAAAGTGTACCGCTAAAACACAAAATTGCGTTTATCTCAAAATGGGGTCGCTGTGGGTTGGAACGTTTTCGCGTAACTACGTCCATTTTAATTTAATAAACTGCTGAATATGGTACCAAATGTAGTGAATAAAACAAGAATAACGTTAATTTATAGCCTCAGGACACTATGATTTATAAATACTAACGTTTTATTATGATTACAACATAAAAATATAGGAATATGTTTATTTCGGTATTGGCGTAATGTAATAGACTTACCTGTGAAATTTAGTGCTGGAATTTGGTTCCCAAACACTTCTGCAATCTCACACAACACAATACATATTATAAATAGCAAATTGAACAATTTAACACTTTTTAATAATAATCTAAACATTCGAAGCGGTAGATTTTTTTTGACAGATCGGAGATATTCTTCAGTTGATTTTTTAATTAGTGTTGCTATTATACCAAAATGGTAGCAACCAGCAAACAGGGAAATAAAGGGCGTATTTATTATTTAGTTTTAAATATTGATTTCAAAGTAGTTGGTTAGAATTTGTCACACTCATCTTATAATAGTAATACAAGAGTAGGACTTCTGGAGATTGTAAAACTGATTGATATCTTGCATAGTTCTGTTTATTTTCACTTTCTGATTGGAATTTCTTGTATTTAACATGGTAATTTCAGATAGTGTGTGAGAGAGATAAAAAACATATCATGGGGTTAATGAACTCATCTTCATACAGAAGTTCTACATGCAATCTCCAGTGTTGTATATAAGCTTCTTGGTCTGTGCAGTGTGCACTAGTGTTAGGGTGCGGCCAGAGTGCACTCCTGATTCAGATTCAGATTCAGACTCAGAAAACAAAGGGCGAGAAGAGGCTGCTTTTGCAGGCAACCTGCTTAGACTACACTGTTTATTTCTCGCGCTTGTTTTCAGAATCTGAATCTGAGTGCACTCTGGCCGCACCCTTAGGGTACGGCCACAGTGCACGCTGGTTCAGAATCGGGTTCAGACTCAGAAAAGAAGCTCGGGAGATGTCAGCTTGAGGAAAGCAGGTTATAGCCACAGTGGAGGCAGATAATACAAGACGCGGACGCGAGCACTGATGCCAGATTGGGGGGATGCCTCCAAATTGGGGAGGTTTTTAAAGCGATGGGGGGATTAATGGGGGGAAGAAATTTCGTTTTGGGGGAAACGGGGTTTTTTAATTACATTTTTATGTAAAAATAAAACCACTTCATAAACTTTTAATCTGTAAAAATCTCTCTTTCTCATTCTGTACAGAGCATGACAAGGATAGACGTTGTCAAATTTAATTTTATTAGACTTTGCTACTATTATAATAACAATTTCTAATAATTTTGAAGAAAGCTTTTACTGTCAAAAATATGCTTGAAGCAAAATAAAGTAATTTCGCCTACTATATATATATTTTTAGAAAAATGGTATTGATTCCCTAATATAGTAGGATACCTTATTTCATAGTAGGGTTGGCAACCCTACCTGCAATCCTAGCGGCGCTGGTGAATTCAGTATCTGAAACAAGAATGACCTAAACATTCCGGTAAACTATCTGACTTCGAAGTCCGAATCCTGCGCGGGCAACCAGTTTCTTGCTGCCACTATGGCCATCCTGCTTAAACTACACTGTTCATTTCTCGCGCTTGTTTTCTGAGTCTGAATCTGATTCTGAATCAGCGTGCACTGTGGCGGTATCCGTAGTGTATTTAGCTAATTACTTGCCTAGAAATGTCTTTCTGGCAACACTGTGCCTAGTGCTCTAGCTCACATTGCCAAGAAATTAAAAAAATGCTTTAAAAAATTATAGCTCTAGTGTGCAGGTGCACTTTCCTTTCAGCAGTTTCAGATAATTTACTTACCTATTACCGTAGTAACCGTTTCTCAGAATTACGAAAAAATGTGGTACCTTTAACTCCCGATTGGATTCCTGTTTCGTTCTTACAAAGATTTTTCGCATTTCCAACTTTAAGGTACCCAAATATGAATGATCTGCCTGAAAATAGTGTTACCAATGAGACTGCAGACATCGAGACCTTGGATTATTTACGTGGTGTGAAATCGTCAACATGCCTTCTTCTTCCTACGACTCCAAGCCCTACACCTCTCGACTTCAAGCACCCCCTCTCCGAAGAAATGACTGAACAACCGTTCTTGGCCATCAGCAATGACAATAATCTGGTCAATTCTCAAAATTCAGGTAAGTTTATGTGGAATCTACATAAATATCTTACTGTATAATAATATTTTGATGAAGATCTAAGGTTGGACGCGAGGAGATCTTATCTTCAACATCAATCAAGTTTTCAGCTAAATAATCCCTAGACAAGGGTTATGGTGAGGGTAGATTTTGGGATATTAATGTCTGCTGTACCAGCGTTTTCATAATATTAAACTACACTGTACTGCATTTTGTGGGTAAAACTGTACTTCCAGGGCCCAAAAGGTGATTCTTGTTTTTTTTTTGTAGAAAAGGTGTTTTTTACAGATTTTTTTTTCATTATGGTCACAACACTAACATAAGAAAAGTAAAAATTTTCAATAATATTTTCTAAAAAACTACCAGTGCATAAGTGTGACAATTTTTTTAATAATGTGGTTAACAGAAACCTTTTTAACAACAAAAATGAGAAATTACAACCAACAAAACTGTGAAGTTCATAGTTTTGGGCCCTGGAAGTACAGTATATCCATTTTGTGGATTGGAAAAATTAAAAATGAAGAAGAAAACAGAAAGAAATCATAGTCTGCTTTCATATAATATATTATGATGTAAAATTGTTATTGTTTTTACACATGAACAATGGTTGATATAAAAGTTTTGCTATGAAGGTGATTGTATACAATGAAATCCTATAAGTTTAAGAAAAGTGTTGTGTAATATCCCTTAGTAAAAGCTTGGGCTTGGTGTGAAATATATCTACATTTTATAAATAAATCCTCATAAGCCACATTTTTTTTATAAGTTACATTTAATTGGATATTTTGCTCTGCCTAGTTTCAACCCAGTGTAGAGATTTAATTGGTCCTAACCTAATGTAGGCGAGAATGATTTAAAATATTATTAATTTCCTTATAGATGCTTCAGCTGGCGATTCAAGTTCATCAGCAGATTCCAACTCAGTAGTTCAAGACCCAGTCAGTGCACAGCTTATCAATAATATCAGTATGCTGGATTATCAGACTTTGAGTAAAAATGGAGATTTAATTGTAGGACCGGTCAGTTTTTGTTTTTTAGCGTATCCTATAACTGTCAACTGTTTTCTACAGAAACACAAATCAAGTTACTCAAAATGCACAAATTTCTGACTTAAAACTTTATAGAGCTACATACATACACAATCAATTGAGAAAATTTGTCATTTTTTAGTAACTTTAAGTGTGCAATTACTAGGGTTGCACTGAAAATGATTGGAATGATTAGATTGGAGATACAAATTTCAGTGAGAGATGCTGAGGGACATTTTCTAAAGTATGATTTATATAAATAAATAAGCACTGTAAAGTCAGAAACAGACTTATGAAACACGACGCCATACCACGTGTATATTCTAAGGCGCATCGCGTTGCATCGTATGTGATTCTGATCATAGAAAATACTACATTTTGATTCGACTGTTTCGGCCATTAGCCAAATCGCGCATTGAGGGCTTGGCCCTGTGGCACAGAGTACTTAATAGTTACTACCTGCAGCCTATACTTTTGCTTAGGCTTGTATAATGGGATACTAGGGTAACAGATAGAATATATATAATTATACTTAAATAAGTATATTTAAAATTTATTATTATACTAACATTTGCCCTACCGGGATTCGAACCTGGGACCTCTGAGTAGGCGACAGTTTGAACCCGGCGTACATACCACTCGGCCAAGGGGGTCGTCGACTGTGACCAAGTATACTATTATTATGTATGTGTATTTAGTGTACGCAGTATAGTGAATGGTGGTCTCAATTGTTTCGCGAGCCAAAATAATAGGCTTGCCGCTGTCAAACATAACTCGCGCGGCAGCCGCGCATAGTCGATAAGCAGTTTAAGATCTTCTAGTTATTTGTTCAGATCTTCTAAGGTTTTAGCCTTAAGTAAGAATAACATCATCGGAGAAACGAAGGTGTATAAGGTTAAAGTATTTAGTTCAAATATATTTCATGTAATAGCCTCTTCTGAAAATTTTTAGTGAGTCTTATGTATAAAACCTTGTAGCTGTAGCACATGCATAGTTATTAAGAAAAACAATGGTTCTAGTAAGAATCAAGAAGAGTATGTTTTATACACCCTTACCTCAAATTGAATCCGGCAATTTTAAATAGTGAATGACTGAGGCGCCATTATTACATAATATATGTTATAATACGGTGATAAGACAATCTCCGTAATATGGCTCCCACTTTGTAACGATGCGGTGCCGCGGTGGTCATGCTATGACATGCTGCTACAGGGGACTACGACTACTGTATAATATTGCAGTTCTGTTCGAACGGGTACATTATATTATATAGGAAAAGGATCGGAAACCGGAGCAGATAGTATTCTTTAAAATGAATTATCCTACTTTATTTGCCAACTAATCAACATGGTAACCAACGGTATCGTATCGGCTCGGAATCAGTTCAAAAACTATAAGCGGTACTGATCAACTCGCCGTCCCCGCGCTTTCGTCTATTTGTTTTTCACTTACGTCTATCTGCCAACAGTTTACCTACGTTTCTTGGATCTCCCGCTAACATCCCTCCGTCCACCCACTTATCTCGCGCTTTCTAATTGGTTACGATTTTCTGAACACGTGCTCTCGTCATGGAAATTCGGCTGCCGTTTTGGCCAGATTTAGGTTCGCAATCTTATAAATTAGGGAATGTGTAAATTTTAGTTTGAGGCTTACTTGTCTTAATTTATTATTATTAATTTTCAGGTGGAAGACGGAAAACTTAATGGCAATTTGAGTATTAGCAACAGGAAATTGCCCAGTTTTGTTAATTGGAACTGGGGGATCATTAGGAAAGTCCTGCTTTGGATCGTAATATCTGCACTCGTGGCCTGTATGAGTGCTATCATTGCGATGGTGGTTACTATTCCTAAAGAATGTAATCCGAACTTGCCTTGGTATCAAGGTAAGGTATTTTATGAAGTCTTTCCAGCAAGCTTTCAGGATTCTAACAAAGACGGGACAGGAGATTTAGAAGGCTTGATAAAAAAACTTGATTATATACAAGAGCTTGGAGCTACGGCTCTACACCTCAATTACATTTTTAAAGCTGACAACTATCCAGCGCAATATTATAATGTATCCTCTTCAGTAGAAGTTGACAGAAGTTTAGGTTTACTTGATGATTTCGAAGATCTAGTGCATAAGGTACATCGTCGAAATATGTCAATAATCCTCGACATACCTGTTTCATCTCTGGCAAACACGTTCACGTTTTCTAATTCAACGCTTGAGATGTTATTGAATAGTAAAGGTTTTGTTACCGATTTTGATTCTACATCTCTTGCGCTGGCATTTTGGTCCCATAAGTATAAAGTAGACGGATTTTATTTGAAGAATCTTGAGAATTTCGTACAGGATATTAATTTCGGAAAAAGCTTACAGTTTTGGAAACATATAATAGGTGCCGATAGAATTTTTATTGCAAGTGAACAAACGTATGAATTGGCGAAAGGTGAAGCTCTAAATATTTTGCTTTCTAGGATTGATTTAATTGATATTCATTTAGATATGAAAGAAGGCATTAACGGTTTGAAAAATCGTATTAACAAAGTTGTCACCGGTAATTTGTGGGCGAAACCGCATTACCCTTGGGTTCATTGGAATATTGGTAATATTGGAAGCGAAAGGATATCTTCCAAACACGCAAATAATACGTTAGCTCTTATTGCACTTGAATTAGCTTTGCCTGGTACTGTTAGTATTTTTTATGGAGATGAGATTGGTTTAGGCGGGTTATCTGCTGACAGTATAGAAGTAGATTTCCATGAACATAAAGATATTCATAATTTAGTTCCAATGAAGTTTGCTAATAGCGATAATGGAAATAATATAATCTTACCTTGGAACTCTGAGCCGACACTTTATCCAAAATATCACTTCTTAGAAGTAATAAAAATGTTAACTGATGTGAGATTAAACACTCCCACAATATATTTGAGGGCTATATTTAAAGAGGGCAATATATTAAAAAATATGGAGATTCGTAAAACTCAAGAAAATTTAGTGGTGATTGAGCGTTGGTACCCTCGCAGAAACACTTGCGTTTTTGTAGGAAATTTAGGAAATCAATCAATTACTACTGATTTGTCGTCAATGTTTTATGGTGGAACCGTTGTTGCTGGAACAAATACTTCCTTAGTAGGTCAAGTTATATTCTTTGATCAGGTAACGTTTCCACCCAATTCTGCTATTATACTAAAGTTAGAAAAGTAAGATCTTATTTCAATCTCAATACGGACAAATCTCTCTTAAATATATTTATTTATTCGTGTGTTGCATTAATAAAAATAAACAATGGTGTCGATTCTGACATGATTCTCTAAACCTAAACTTAATTAGACATGAGTATATCCTTGTCATTCTCTATACAGGATGAAAAGGCGAGACTGATGTTAAATTTAGTTTTAAGTTTAGAGAATCATGCCAGAATCGACATTATTGTCGTAATTTGTGTGTAGGTGTATCCTATGAATTTTATAAATTTATGCAAGCCTGAGGCAATTAGGTGGATAGAACCTATATATCTTCGTGAATATGTGAATATATTATATGTCTATGAATATTATTTAATAGCGATTATTAACCTACTTAGTTTAATACTCTTCGCTCCACATAGTTCATATAATATTTTTCGCTTCAATTTACACAGATCAATGCAATGTAATACGCCTAACTAGCTAATGGTCTAACTATAAAGAAGAACGTCTATCTAACAATTTTGCGCACGTAGGAATGTGAGACATTTGGTAATTTTAAATCTCGTTTATTAAGACTTGTTAAAAAAACGTTAAATTGTTGGACGTTTTATGCATTTTAAACCATTTGCTAGTTAGGCGTTTTTTATTCTATAGACATTTTTTGTAGTTTGAGGCTTAGAGAAGTGACTGTATTATTACCATAATATACCTAGTATTTCAATGAAACTTGACAAAGATATTGATTTCATTGTGTATTTATAAAATCCTAAGAAAAAATTCAGTTAAGTATCATAGGAAAAGTTTTTTTTATGTACTAAATGTATTATATTATATTGTTGTAGTTTTAATATGTTGATAGGTATTTGTACATCTATATAACCAAAGATTATTTTAGTAAAACGTAGAATGTTGTTTTAAAATAATTTTATTTACAAAAATATATATACATTTGTACAACATTGGAAAAAATAATTATGTACTTACATATTATTTAAATATACGAGAAATCGTTATATACATGATATGCTATAAAACAGTTAAATAAATAGTTGTTGACATTAACATTTTTTAATTATTTCTCCTATTGATGACTCTAAACTTATCTTTACATTTTAATTATTTGTTGACAAATTGTCTCTACATAATGATTATTATTTATCAGGTAATATTTAAATAGGCGAGTATTATTGATTTCTTTCTTCGCTCACTATTTCATAGTGAATTTTGATTTCATATATCAAATTATCTGAAGCGACATATAGAAGAATACAGAAATTATTGTGGCGTTAAGTTAGATTTTGATATGAACAGAAACGAAATTATATTTTTCTATAATTATCTAGTACATTCAATCTTTTATGTATGCAAAAAAAAACAGTCTTAGTTTTTATTGCATGCAAAGAAAACCAGTTACGACTTTATTTTATATTATAAAGAGACAATAATCATTGTTGTGAAGTTGGGTAACAAAACTTTAAATTACAAATCCCTGAAATACGAATGCGAGACTAGAGGCATTTATGACATTTCACAAATAATAATCAGTTAAAATGGGAGCCATCGAACAGTCCTGTTTAGCGTACTAGGTATGAAATTAAGTGAAACATTTCGTGATATATAAATAATACGCTGACAGAGTACTGCTTTGACTCTTAAAGTAAATTCTATACAGAGGGTTCAGACATTTTCCACTTTCATACCGAATCTAGTATTTTTTTCTAGAATTAAACAAGTTTTAAGGCCATTTTTAGAGCACGGGTGCGCAGATAATTGTCATTCCTTTAAAACTACATGGCACGACAAAGCTTCGTTTCCACATAAAAATGTACCCATGTAAATTTATACATGATCCAAAAAAGAAAACACTCTGAGCAGCAACACTCTAAAACCTTTACAAAGATTATTAACTAAGATATATTCAGTAGAAGCATAATTTACCCGCTTAATCCAAGGAATTTTAATGCTGAAATAAATTTCTTAAAGAACATCAATGATATATTATAATACTTGATTGACTTGAATGTGTTGTATGATTTGTGATGTAGAAAATTCAACAGAAAAGTTATGAATATCAGCATTGATGCACATGAGAGTGATGATAAGAGAAATTTTATATACCTCAACGAAAACCAGGTAGGTATAAGTAATTATTATTTTGTAGGCTAATGAACATCAGTTGTTGAAGATATTGTCTTTAAATAAACAAGACCGATACAAATAAATTAAAACTGAAAACTTAAGAAACAACTACCCTGTAAAAATAATAATTATAAAACCCATTTACTTTGATAATATGATGACAAACAAATCGGTTTGTCCATAAAATTATAAAACAATCACTTAAAATGTATTATTCCAAGATATTATGTTCGTTTACATTAATAAAGCATTCTTAGAATCTTGAAATAATTGGAGACATCGCAATTCAGTCTTAGATATGGCTTAAAATCGGTGGATGAAAACTCTCTTAAGAGTTACTAACACTGGAAGTATTAATAAAATGTGATATTTAAAATTAACCATGCGTCATGAGCTAGGTTGCGTTTTCTTTAATTTTATAAGACTCGGATGCATTACATAAGTATTGGACATAGCTCTAGGTGTATGACTCGCCGAACTCGGCAATGCCGGCAGTTTGTCAGTAGGATTCCTAACTATTATCTTTTTCTGAGGTCCCGTCGATACTTTTCTTACATTACATTCTTGTTTCTTGTGATCTAATATATCAGTGGTGTTTTGTGGGGACTTTAAGCATTTTTGTTCACTTTCGCACTCATTAGCGTGTCTATTTAATTTAGGAGCTCCAAAAGCCTTAGTTTGTTTCAACAAAGATCGATCGTTACACAAAGCTGCAATAAGAGGCAAGTCAAGATTCTTGCTTTTTTCTCTTAAAGTTTTAATGTCCAAATCACAATCTCTAGTTTTGCTTATAGTAGAATCACTATTGTTACTATCGTTTGCTGGAATTTCTCTTAGCTGTGTGGGGAGTATTTTTTTATGCTCATAAGGTGGTGGCGGTGGTGGTGGCATCCGCCGCATTTTGATCGGTGGAGGCTCTCTAATGTTCAATATGTTTTCGTCGGATTTGGCCCTCGAAAAACTTGGAAAATCTGCTTTACGCATTGGTATCGGTGGTCTTTCTAGATTAACGGAATGATTACTGAGTGACGTCCTGCTGTTTAATGAGTACCAACTGCCACGTGCTCCAGGTAATTGTACGTAGGAATCAGAAAGGTTTTGTATAGATCCATACATTGATGTTGGCGACATAGACATGGATAAGTATGGTGTACTGCGATATTGTAGACTAGACTTGTGCATATTTGACACTCTAGATTCTGTTAATTTGTGGTCAAGGTAATTTTGCTGGGAGACTGCCGGGTCTTGTAAAGGATAGTAAACATAATCCACATCACTATATAATTGCTGATGGAACATGGGATTTTGCGGGGGTGGTGGTGGAGGTAAACGAGTAACTGGTGGTGGCGGCGGCAGACGGGTTCTTCGGGGAGGCGGTGGTGGTGGAGGAAGTTTCATCATTGCTACTAACACATTAGAATCTACATTATGTGGGGGCAGTTCTCTAGAAGGAGAAAGATTATTTATACCTTGTACTAATTTCGACCTCTCTACTCTGCGACTAGAGGCTTGATGACGTTTAGATTTTTGGAATCTGTGTTCTATTACCATTGGACTAGCAAATGTTCGTTCACTCGATGTATTTACTTCTCCAGCTTCTGCTTTTAAAATTGTTATCATCGGTTTTGAAGTGACCACCCTAGCTGCAACTTCTTCTTTTTCTGCCACTTGTTTATTAGAAATCGATGATGATGATTTGCCGGGATATGCCGGTGGAGCTTTCAAAGGAGCTTGAGCGTATGTTGAGAGCGTTTGATGATTGTATTCGTACGGAGGCGGTGGTTTATTAGGAAAAGACGGTCGAATAGGTGCGTTTTCATCTAAACCTAAAATATTTGGCAACGAGAGATTTAAAAGTTTTCGACTGTCTGTTCTAGTTGGTGGTGTTGGAGGACGGTCAAAGAAACTATTATTGGGATAGTTATCGTCAGACGGAGCTGTATCTTCATGCCCTTGTATGTAACTATCCCCAGTAAACGGTAATGGTAGTCTGACGTAATCAGAAACTGAATCTAGAGTGTCACTGACTGATTGACTTTTAGGGTAGACGCCGCGACCTACTATTAAATCACTCAGTTCGCTGGCAGTTAAAAGATTATGTTTGTTATCAGTAGGATCACTGCCGTCACCATGAAATGATGTTGCACTTACATTAGAATTGGTTCGTTCTCTGAATAAGTCATCACATTTTTCTTGATTAGAATAATTTGTTGCACCGTCTACACAATCACTGTTAGGTAAAGACGTCTGTAATCTCAATGTATTCGTTGGGTGACTAGATCTCTCTGATTTATTTTTTAAAATTGAGGAAACACTATCAAAATCTGCAAGATCATTATCTTTAGGTATCTTATAACTATCATAATGTGAGACACTGTACTCAGTCCTACTGCCTTCTGAAAGTGTGTCCAGCTTTGAACGCGCCGTTAATTCTGAACTCCCCATTGTATACACTCCACTTGTTTCACTTGAAGCTGCAACAGTTACGGGCTGTCCTAAACCGTCATATAATGCTGAAGCAGTATCTTGACCATATTCTGCATCAATACCGACGATACTATTATCACTTATCATAGAATTTTGTGCAGTGTGGCTATAACCTAGTTCTAAGCTGCTTGCATTAGAAACCCTGCTTAATGTACTTAGGGCAGCTCGAGTCATTATAACTGTACTACAGGATGAAGAACACTGTGATCCTGTACATTTTAACTTGTTTGAAACCGGACTTCCGCTTTCAGTCTGAGTCTGTTCGGTCAAAGAAGTACTTTCTTCTGAATTACTTGTGGATATTTTACTGATCTCTGAGGACTGTGTGTTAATTTTACTGCTGACGTTTTGTAGGTCACCTTTAGTTTTTCTTATTCGAACTTTAGATTTATGCATCTGTAAAGATGACGTTTTCGTTAAGGGTTCATTACTTTGTGGAATGTGACGAATAAAATAAGAATTTGAGCAATCTAGTAAATGTGCAAAAGCTAAACTTTCCGTCGATGGCGCAGGAGGTGAATCTATCATGATTTCTAACTCGTCTTCAGATTGGACTCTATCACTTACAATACCAGAAGTGGTGTTTGAACTGGTTGATGAAATTACTGATATTCTTTGTTCGTTTTTGTTCTGATTATAATGTATGTTAAGGGATTTCGAATATCCATAACAGGCTTTACGCTCCTCTTCTTCTTTTCGAATAATTTCATTTAACTTTGGTGCTATCTTCATTGAGAATTGATGAGATTCTTTGCATAATGCGAATAAGTATTTACATTTTTCTTCATTATTAGAATACAGTGTGAATTTACCCTCTTCGGTTCTTATTTCAAACTTCTTTCTGTCGAAGCTCAGTTTCCCAATGGAACTCCATATAAAATTTGAAAGTGAGCCATTATCTGGAAGGATTTTTATGCCTATCGCTGTAACAAGTAACCACACAGTTCCTGGGTCTGGTTCTGATTTTGATTGTTTTAGCCGATAGCGATGAGAGTTGATTGTGTCGGGCAGTAAGCACACTTCTCTTATAAACCTTGTTTCAGCATCCGTTTTCGAAAGACCACGATGCTCGCGATGGCATCCCCGCATAGCAGCAGCGACCCAATCACCCGTGAGTGATGAGGGTGCATAATCTTCCACTTTAAAGTAATCACGGTCGTCGTAGTCGGCTGAGTCTCCATATTCTGCCTGCAAAGCTAGGCCAGTCAACAGAAGGATAATTTCAGCTGGCAGTACGTCTCGCGTCTTTACGTTATGACGTAGTTGTAAGAAGTAAAGATGTCGTCCAATATCATCGTGTATAAGTAGTGGACTCTCCACATGGAACTGAATTACAAGATGTAATTCTAGAAGAGGTCTTCCATTTGCGTCCAAACCCTGTAATAAAACAACAGCAAAGGTTATAAAGATAGTGGCATTCCCGAACCGTAAACTTGTGGATAATCGAGTGATCTTCCATCATTCGAAGCCTTGTTCCCAATTTTATATTTATCAATGTAAGCAAGGTTAAGTTTTTCAAAATGAGTATTTATACTGTTTATGTAAATTTTTTCCTGCCCTAATATGTAAAAATTACATACAACATTAAATTATTCCTCCGGCCCCCCCCCTCTTGCCCGCGTCCGGAATAATCACGTAATAGTAATCTGAACCGGTATTCTTTCTTTTCAGAGTTTGACTTGCAGTCTGTATTGCAATTCTTTGTGATTGCAATACATGAATTTTACTTTCAAAACACTAATCGCATCCCTTGGGGGGGCCTCCGGCCCCCCGTAACCCCCCCCCCCCACCCCCCTCTTGCCCGCGTCCGGGGCGGGTTTATGTCACACTTGCTATAAAATAGTATACGATACTTGTGGCCTAAGTTGTCTATTACTGCACGGCGTTTAGCACCCTCGCTCCGCTCGGGCGCTAACTTCGCGCCGTGCAGTAATAGGCAACTTAGGTCACGCGTATCGTAATGTACTATTACGTAGCTACATATTTTGATGCTTTCAAATAATAATAACATAATGTACTCACATGAGTGTGTGATGATCTCCAACTTTTTGGTGCATATTTTGATAATTTACTTTCTAGGTCAACAAACAAGTATTCTCCATCTGTAAATGAAAATATTGTTTTATTAAAAATCGTGTGTAAAAATATTTAAACCTGTGAATTCAGTTAGTAAGTAATTGTTATGTATTGTTGTTATGAAAGAATTATATCAATTATGATGGGAGCCTTATTTTTTGTCGTTATAAATACTACTTATACCCTTATTGATCTCTTAGTAATAAAACACATCGAGATAATTATATTGGCGGAATTATTCCAAATTATAATGGAAACCTTATTTTTTTGCAAGCTTTTATTTAACTTACTTTGTAGAACGGCTAGTCCGAATAGATCCATGTCGGTCATGCCTTGTAACTGAGCGTGCGTGCTGGCCAAAGACTTTAGCTCCTTGACCCTCGCTTTGGCTTCGACGACGAAGTGCAGCGGCTGCGGCTGGCCGGGCATACGCAGCGAGAGCAGACGCGCGCCCGCACCGAGCGCGCGCGTATCCCCGCCCAGCGGCCCGCGAACCGAACACAGAGCACGCATGTCGCATCTCGATACAACTGTTACTCGCTCTGGAATAAAGAAACGTGCGGGTTGGTTAAATAGACTGACTTAAGAGACGGGTTTTAGTCATTAATTATAAAACGATTGTATAAAACGTAGCCGATATATTATAAAATGTGGAAGGTAGTTTTTTTTGTACCCTTTCACGCCTAAACCACCGTAACGAAACAAGACGGCACCTATATACTAAAATGCTCAATTTTGGTATATGGGTGCCCTGCCCTGGAGACGGTTACAAGCTACTTTTTAACTTGAAGGGGGTAAAACGTTGATGAAATTTTGTACGAGAAAGCAATTAATCCTGCTACGCGCTACGCTAGTAGTACGCTAGTAGTTAATAAAGTTATATAATTATTGATTGGCAAATGGCAAGTTTATATAGGAGCGGCACGCTATGTTGGCCATTCCGACGTTTGTCCGCCCATGAAGTTTCCAATTTGAAAATCAAAATTAGTTTAAACTTGAAACAAAAAACTATTGTTCTTCATTGTCATTAAAGGCGTGCAGTTTGTCAGGTACGTTTGTACGCATTAAAAAAAAATACTAGATCTCGTTGAAACCAATTTTCGGTGGAAGTTTGCATGGTATTTTTGGTGGTGGAAATTTTTGTCTTTCAGTTCTAAGTATGGGGAACCCCCTAAATTTATTGATTGACGGACATGACGAGTCTATAAGGGTTCCGTTTCTTGCCATTTGGCTACGGAACCCTAAGAACTGGCCAAGGGCGAGTCTAAGCTCGTATTTTTTGTTTAAATACAACATAATATAATACATCATAATACAAACATTTCACATTCTTAACTAGTTTTGACTTTGAGATAGACCCCGTAACAAAAATGGTCTATAAATGACAAGTGTTTGAACACCACTCAAGCAGTTCTTGGTTCACAATCACGCGCGGATCGTTGAAAAGTAAAGTTGCCGTAGTGCTCCGTGAAAAAATGCGAAAAAATACGTATAGTATGTAGTGTTGTTTTTTGACAGGTATCTATTCAATTATTGTTAATTTAATGCATTTGAAGCAATTTTTGTTCTAATACTTACTATAAACTGGTTTAATAGAAAATAAAATTTCGAACAATTATTATCTGTCAAATTTAACTTTTAGTTCAAAAATTTTGTGAATTAGAGTAGGCTTAGAGAATTTTAATATCAAAATATTTTATTATCATAATATTTTATTATTAAATATTATAATAATTATTAGTAAGGTACGTGCGAAATTTCTATCGAAATCTCGTTTTTCGTTGAAATAGAGTAGAATAGATATTCTCCTGCAATCCTAATTCTTCCGCATATAGCAATAAGTCGTAAAATTTTACGAGCTCGTATTTCGAATTGTCATAACTCTGTGACGCAGGCGTTTAAATAAGACCTTATGTAGTATGCATTAAAGGTGATTTTCAATGTTTGAATAATGCCTTATATAGTTTTTGAGTACGCGATCATATAACGCAGGATCTTCCAATGTACCTTTTGGACAGGTTTCAGGCACGATTTTGTTCGTGTTGGTGTGTCTAGGGTATTTAATATCGTTGTTGTGCACAAAAAATTCGTGGTAGTGCGTACGTGTCTAGTTGTTTGATTTATTGTTGAGAATGAAACAGCAAGAATGGAAATATAAACCAACAATGACTAAAGTATATATTTCAATTTTAATGTTATTCTTAATTAGATACAAAAACGATTATTCACCGTTTATTATTGCTGCGAGTTGACATTATAAGCTGCCACAGACTAAAAATATGACGTGACTTACGACTGGGTTGCCAGAATCATTACGAAATTGTTCAATTTTCAAATACGATATAAAATAAGGCGGGGATAAATTAAAAAATAATATTATCTGTTCATGTTTAAACATAAAAAAAGCTTTCAAATGATACATGTTTCATCGCTGCCGGAAACCGATTACCACTTTTAAACCGTCCCATTTAGGATGGACCGTGATAGCTCTTCTCATGGAGGGGTAGTAATTTATCTCCGCGCACATCTTTCTTTCGCTGCATTAAGTCAGTCATCTCAACCTCCTCCGCAAAATACTGCTGAACATCTCTTCATTGAGGTCAACTTAGTTCACAATAAGGTTCTTTTAGGTGTTTTATACAGCCTGTCTTCTCAAATTGATTATTTCCATTCATTCGAGCTTCTTCTTGAAGATTTTTCTCATAATTATACTCATACAATTATAATGGGCGACTTTAAGAGCCCTTTTACAAAATTGCGCCGCTCTAGTTTAGGTAAATACGGCCGTGAGCGTGTCCGAGTCGCACGAGCGAGACATCGACGCGGCGATGTTCAGTATAGCGCGCTTTACTAAATTGATACTTTAATCTCAGTAAAACTGTACTAAGTGTAGTTTTGTCTTTGCCTTCGTAGATCATTTAATAAAAAAGTATTCTCACTCTGTATTTTCAATATATCTGTATTTGATAAAAAATTAAAAAGCATGTTTTTTGTGAAATAAGCGAAATGTTATAAGCACATTCACCTTGCTTCACAAGCCTTCTTTATGGCTGCATCATTCTTTCGTTTTCTTTTTTTGACACAATGGTAAGCAGGAATTTTACGCCCCATTGTAAAAGCTAATAACAAAAATATTAGTTGAAGCAACGATAATAGGCTAGTTGACTCATGTCGAATTGTATTAAATAAATGTTTCTTTCTTAAAGTATTTAGTCTAAGGAACCTAAATATATCGATTTCACTTCATAAAAGAAGATTGCTGTAGAAATTTAGTTAAAAAAAAATTTTTAGTCTATACTTTTTAAACACTGAAATCGCTGTTCGCCACGTCCGTCACATGATTGTGACGTCTCTTTTAGTAAACAACTAAATCTCATGTGATGAGACTTAATATATTATTCAATGAGTACTTACATCAAAGTGATCTTCGCAAAAATAAATTTTACTATGAGTCGATAAAGTTGCAGGATCACTTTTTGCAAGTTCGAACCAGGTATTGCGTAGGTTAATTTTAGGTTATAATGTTAAGGAATTATGAATAAGACGTCCTCTCCTCTTGCAATTGCGATACCCTACACTACAGGGTCCATAATGCACTTTTGTCTTTATGTTACCACCTTTGTATCTCCATTATGGTCTGCAATAAATGAATTGAATTAATTTCTTTCGGCACTTTAATCCACAATTTTCCTGGAGTCTTCAAGGATGTGTTTTTACATTCTCATACAATACAATAATGTAAATTACTATAGTTTTCGTGGTATTTATCAGAAATCATGTTTTTTTTTATTATAAACTCAGATAGGTTATTTTCTACGTGCTTACGAGTTTTTGTTTACTACCGTCGACGTCATAGCATAGATAATCTATAGACTAAAATGGCTGACAGCGTTTTTGTATGTCCATGAAAAGTCTATTTTAAAATTAAAGATTTGTAGCTTTTTAGGTCTCAAAAAAATACAATACATTTTTTTCGGTCTAATAGAACATTTATTAACCATTCAAAACCTTTTTCCAAAAAGGGTCAACTAGCCTATTAATAACTGGGTAGGTTAAACTTACATACAGTCAACGATTAAACTTTTGCGGTCGTAGTATATCCAGCCAGTTTTACGATGACGCTCGGGACGCGTGCGGTACAAAGCGACACAGGTTCGACCTCCAAAGGCGCTGGCACCGTACTGAACGGCGCCTAGATTTGCACTTGTATATATCGCATTTTACGGGTGATGTTCAGAGTCTTATAAAATAATAATTAATGAACTTATTATAAAAATATATACATATTTCAGTAGTTCAATCATTGTAGATTAGTTTTATGAAAGTTTTTGATAGTAATTCTATTTAATTCAATATCAAAATACGAGGTAAACCTGCGTTAACGGAGGTTAGATGTTTTTTTAATAATTAATGAGATGGAAAATCAAGATTCTAATACATTATGTTGCAACAAAAACATATTTCTGATGTCGTAGTAATTAATTTGATCTAATTTATTAAACATTATTGTGAGATTAAGGCGTTTAAAGTTGTGCATATTATAGTTTTTTCTGTAAACTAGCTGCGGTAGAACGATCAGTACAAAAAAATGAAAATAGTATTTGCAAATATTGTACATTAATTTTCAATAGGAAGAATAAATCTACTGTTTACTTCTATTGGAAGTAGTCAAAATCTCTTCTAAGGGGGCAAATGAGGCTCAAAAATTGCGATTTATTGCAAAAAAATGTGAAAGGGCTCTTAACATCTGTCTGATAAAAATGATTTCCGATGCAAAGAGTTACGTTCAGTTATTAATTCTTGTAATATGCATATTCTTCCTCTCTGCGACGCATAAATTTCCAAACTGTACCCCTTCTCTGCTAGACCTTATAATGGTATCATCAACCGACCATGTTGTGAAACATGGACGATTACCAGCTTATCAGTTTTCTTGTCATGATTTAATTTATTTGTCGTATCGAATCCGTCCCCCTAAACGTAAGGCGTCAATCCAACTATTGCGTAATTTAAGTGCAATGGATGTAGATATTCTGCGAGAAGATGCTCGTAAAGTTAATTGGTCGGCAATAGAAGATCTCAACAGTATTGACGAAAAATAGAGCTATGGCGCTTTCTCAATAAGCTTGGTATTGGCAAATCTAAACGCAACTCTACCTCTCCTTCAAATAGTGATATCAATGCTTTAAATGATCACTTTTCCTTATCTGCGTCCATGGATGGAATAATCAAAAGTCATACTTTGAATACTTTTTCTTCGTCGCCAACACCATCTTTTACTCCTTTTTTCATAAAACAATTTACTGAGTGTGACATTGAGAAGAATATCATTGCTGTATCGTCCAATGCCGTGGGTAGTGAATGCATTAGTCGTAATATGATCATTCCTCTTCTAGATATCCTCACTTCTGTAATTACGAAAATCCTCAATAAATCCATATCGTCATCTGTTTATCCTTCGGCATGGAAAGAAAATAATATTGTTCCTTTACCTAAGAAAACCAAACCTGATT